AAGAATGATTTAGAATCACACAAACTTTACCAAATTTGGAATGAGACAACCTTAGTGGGATTTCCCATAAAGGTAAAACGGGACAATCTTAGCGGGACAGAGGGAGTAATAATCATAAAATATAATTCAAGACCAAGTGAACACAAAAAATATATACTCCCACCATCCCAGCTTAAGGTTCTCACGTTCCTTTTTGGACGTCCCAACTAAAGGTTCTTATTTCTATATTAGGAAATAATTAAAACTCCTAAACACCAACTTGATCATATAATATTAAAAATAATACACTTATGACATCACAATTATCAATGACTACATTATTTTATATACTCATTAAAATTACTTTCCAAGATGTACTTGAATTACCTAGTTTAATTATTGTCTAAATAATTGTGTCAATTTTCAATGGGAATCATAACCTGGGTTGGAGGTAGTACATGTTTATGCATCTAATTCTTATAATGACACAAATGTGTATATGCAGCCAAGTCTAATATGAAAATTGTTCCGAATTGGTTATCATATTAGCCTTTATATTAGTACAAAGTACAAACATAACCAAAAATACTATGTAGTATTAGTCTACAGTCTACTACACTGCTGACATCCGCGTCTTAATCCCCGCTATGTTGGGGTTGGAGGCATGAAATTTAGCCTCAATACTTATAACGTGAAAAATGAGATAGGCTCCATATGCTGCAAGCCAAAAATGGAAACACAATAAGGAGCAAGTTAGATTTATTGAAACAAAAAATCCTGGCACTACTTGTTCACAATTATCCTCCTCGGAAGAAATCCCTCAGAATTCAGGAATAGGGCAATTTTGTTTTGTTTTGACATGATACAGGCAATGCTAGATCTCCTGCATCAAGAGATTCTACGTAGATAAAATGGAAGCATGTATCTATAATAGTTAAGGGAGAAGCCTCAACTGAAATGCCAGAAGCACAAATCATACTATGATACTAGTACTCAAAGAATTGAGACTAGAGCTTAACAGTGGAATGCATCCACAATAACCTTTATAAAGTATGCCGAATCCAACAACTATATCCAACAACTATGCATGTATGATTTAGTTATGCTTCCATTTCTACTCATTCACTGGAAAAAATAAATGCAGGTCTTTTTGCAATAAATGTGATATTATATTATTTAATGACTGTATAACTTTCAATGGTATCTTGATCCTTGCATCCCTACTAAGCTCATAACTCTCCATATTTCTCAGCGCATAACTCTCTCTTATCTATCTTATTCATTCCCAATCCCTCAATCTCTTCTTCCTATCCACCAAGTCACCAACAACCATTTCTTTGACTACCTCCCTCCCTCTCTCTCTCCCAAAAAGATGATAACTTGAGCCTACTGTTAGCAATTTTTATCTCCTCAAGCACATGTTCCTCTTCTTATGCCACCACCTTTTGGTGTAGCCACATTTGGGTCTCCATTCAAATGAAATTTTGTAGGGGCTGAATGTTAATTTTCATTCGAATAGGGAGTGAAGAGACGCTTTATGCGGATGATGAAATGATGGATTGAGGAGCTTAGAGCCACATTGGTATAGCTTAAAGATCATATATTGTAAATCATGCAGACAGACATGTGAATCCATCCATATCCTAGCCAGGGAGGGGTTATCGGCCACATAGGATCCAAACACAATGGGAAAACATGTAGCTTTGGATTAATGAGCACAGAGATTGTGATGTGTCACGTCAAGCTTCTCATCGAACAATAAACAGCAGAGTAGTTTACCAGCAACCTGTTCTTTGAATTTGGTTGCCTTGTTCGATATGTTTGGTACGTTACATAAGAAACGGGACACAAGAGAGGATTGTTGCATACTTAGAGGGGCTAGGTAAGTGCAAACTCAAGGCTCACTAAAGATCTAGTGCATTAAATACCTACTTGAGGCAAGCAAAATTGAGTAGATTAGACAGTAGCCTACATGGTTTATAGCAACTCCTAAAACAGAGAAACTTACTGCAGCAGAAGTTGCACGCATCGTCCTATAAGCTTCCACTTCATCAGGGAATGCCTCTTCAAGTTCATCCAAGAGATGCTTTCTTAAACCCTGTGGCAAAAATAAATATCGTGTTCATTTAATTGAACAAGCCAATAGAAAAAAAATACACTCCATAGTCCATTTTTTTCCCATAGTCCATATTTTGTTATGCATTCGTTTATTAAGATTATCTTTAGTAAGCAAAAATTATATAGTAGACACTCCACAACTTAAATATAGATACAGATAGAGTGCAGTTGTAAGTAAATTAATTATGGTGGTGAACCAGATTAGTTCTGAAGAAAAAGCCAGAAAAAACAGAAGGATGTAATTTTAATGTTCTAGGGATACAAGGCTTTTGCCTTGCTATCAGACATTGAGAACAGCTGAGGCATCTCAGGAATACGTTGTAATTACGCTTATGTACGTAAAAAAACATATGGAATGCAAATAAAAGTAAAGCAAACCTTGAAAGCATCTGTTTTTCCTTTGGTAATCTGGTTTTTGGCGATGCAACTATTCAATACATCCCTAGTGAACTCATCTGGATTCCTCCCATTGTCAATTAAACTACATAGCAATAACCAGATGAAAACAGCAAGATGAGATAATTCCAGAGTAGATTTTAGAAGAAAATAAACATGAAAGGGTACCACAACTTACTCTAAAACTTCCATAGGCACCTGAATATCACATTTCTCTGCCAATTTCGTCATATTATCAAGCTCCAAAACAAGAGCATTCCTGGGTGAGTTCAAATTATAAATGAATAAAGAAGCTGAAATAAACCCTAGATTAGAAAGATTTAAAAGGTGAGTCTTTGGTACACACATGCGCTGGAGAAAGGGAAGCTGGGAGGCAACATTGAAGGAGGAAACAGTAAGATAGAGCTGGTGGAGCATCCCGAGGGTTTTCTGTATGGAATTGATGACTTGATTAAGGTTCTGTTTGGAATCGTCCGCCGGTGAGCCGGTGGTGGCGGACGCAGATGAGTCCGCCGGTGAGGCGACATTGGACATGGAGAGCACGGTGCCGTTGCCACCGGCACCGCCGATTGCCGCAGCATTCTGAGAGTAGTTCATGACTAATCAGCTGGAAGTGTTTTGAATACTGATTCTTAGTTCCGGTCGAATTACATGTGACTCTGTAATCCTTTTAACTAGCAAAAAATATGTTTTGATCATCAATACTTGTTCCAAATTTTAACCTAACCATATTTCAGAGTGAAGAAATTTGCCCACCTGTGCAATAATACTTGAAGAATCAAAGAAGATGCGGAAGTAACTGCGAGCAGATATGCCCAAACAGCGTCTGTGCGCAAGGCAACACCGATATATCGGTGGTAATCGGTAAAGATAACGAAACTTGTTCTCAATTGTTAATCGGAAACTTCTGAACAGAATATGGAATAGCACAACTTTTAGAATTTAATCGAGGGAAAAGGGGCACATCTAAGCCCTTAAAGTTTATTTTGGAGCACAAAACTCCATTTTCCATTAAAAGAGGGCATCTTCCCCCTCTCTAACGGCGTAATGGTGATGAACATACGGAGTACTTCAAGACTTGGGAGCCGTTTACTTACTCGTTTAATAAATGGTGCTTGTTTAGGAGCAGTCTTACTAAGCATTGCTTAGTAAAGAAGTGTCTATTTAGCCTGAGTTTTACTAACCTGTAACACGTTTACTTCATCAGCCCAAAGATACCTTATATTTTAAAATTACCTAAATAACCTTAAGGAGCCGTTTACTTACTCGTTTAATAAACGGTGCTTGTTTAGGCTGATTGCAATGCAAGGGGTGAAAACCCCAAATATGAAGTTTTCACCCCAAAACAGCTGCAACCCGGATGTATTTTAGTACATAGAGGTCTCATCGCCAATACAGAAAACTGAGGGGAGGGGTATCTATGCGGCACATTGACTCTTCCGTAGGAAGAGATTCGCAGGTGGGCCATCATCCAAGTTAGTGGTCTGATATTTGCAAAAGGAAAAAAGTGGTCCAGCTTTATGAGTTTTGTGCTTGGGATTGAAGCTGGCTGCATGTTTGGAAATAATTGAAAAGAAATTGGTAGTATTGTTGGTATTTAATTTTACAAAATGAATTGATTTAAATTTAATATTAAACAAGTTCATAGTACTTCATATATTAAATGAAAATATAATAATGTAGAAATATAGAAAACAATTAATAGTTTTAATTTTATTTCAAATTGAACTCAAGTACGCATTTGTAATACTTACAAAAAAATTAATTCACATTTTTTATTTTTTTTGCATCGGTGTGTTTGAGTTTTAAAACAATAATTATAGGTCAAAACAAAATTAACACATAAATGATGTGTAAAAAAATAACTAAGGATTTATGCATTTAATTAAAAAATTATTTGCTGAGTGGATATATTGACGGCGTTGGGTTGCAGAAAAAAACTGAATTGACTGAGTGAATACGTATAAACAGGAGGAAAATTAGATTTATTGACGGGCTGGGTTGCGGTTAGCCTTAGGAGCCGTCTTACTAAGCATTGCTTAGTAAAGAAGTGTCTATTTAGCCTGAGTTTTACTAACCTGTAACACGTTTACTTCATCAGCCCAAAGATACCTTATATTTTAAAATTACCTAAATAACCTTAAGGAGCCGTTTACTTACTCGTTTAATAAACGGTGCTTGTTTAGGAGCCGTCTTACTAAGCATTGCTTAGTAAAGAAGTGTCTATTTAGCCTGAGTTTTACTAACCTGTAACACGTTTACTTCATCAGCCCAAAGATACCTTATATTTTAAAATTACCTAAATAACCTTAAGGAGCCGTTTACTTACTCGTTTAATAAACGGTGCTTGTTTAGGAGCCGTCTTACTAAGCATTGCTTAGTAAAGAAGTGTCTATTTAGCCTGAGTTTTACTAACCTGTAACACGTTTACTTCATCAGCCCAAAGATACCTTATATTTTAAAATTACCTAAATAACCTTAAAACCTACTCCCTTATTTTATTTTATTTCATTTCTACTGCTTTATCCTTGTTAGAGAAAACAGTCGGCTCCTATCTCCATCGAAGAAGCTAAGCCGCTCCCATCTCCATCGAAGAAGCTAAGCTGCTCCCATTTCCATCGAAGAAGAAACGTGTTGACCATCTCCAAGCCTCCAAGTATTACTTTCTTCTTCTTCTTCCATTTTTCAGTCCGATTTGAACAAGGACCCTCTATCCCCTGTTCGAAATTACACACACATATATATAATTACTTTTTTTTATAAAATATATATATAATTACTTTAAGAACTTTTTTCCCTTCAAAACTAGCTATATGTAGTTATATAGATATATCTACGAGCAAAGTATACAGATACGATTGTGGTCAATGATTCTTTTAATTTAGATGATTTGTCTGCTTAGGTGTTTGTGTACATGAATAATATGACAACATGAACTACTTTTGAGTGCTCTTGTGGTGTGTAATTTCAATGTGTGATGCCATTTGTTTTTATCGCATATTTGTTCTAACGTATGTATCAAATTGTCAATGCTTTTGTATTTTCAATTCATTAAAATCTCAAATCTGTTTTTTTTATAGAATGGAAGAAAGTCATACATCAAACAACCATGTATTAGGACAAAGTTCTTTAAATTCAAAATGTTTCTTAAGGAGAAAGTCCTTAAAGTGGTGGTTCAATGCTCAAACATGGTTTATGGCGATCATATTTTGGATGTTTGTTTCATTATCCACAAGGCGAAGGCGAACACGGGGTATTCGATATATAATAGATAATCATTCCAAAAGGGAGGGATATTTTCAAAGATTAGTACACGGACCTGAATCAAATTGCATTTCCCAATTAAGAATGTGTCGTGCTGCTTTTTTCAAGTTGTGTGATATGTTGGTTACAAAAGGTGGGTTGAGGCCAACCCGACATTTGATAGTAGAAGAACAAGTAGCTATATTTCTACTTGTACTATCCCATCATCACAAAAATAGAACCTTAATAACTGACTTTCAAAGATCTGGGAGAACAGTAAGCAAATGTTTTTCTGCTGTAATACATGCGGTGTTACAACTTCATTCTACCTTGTATGCTAAACCTCAACCAGTTACGATGGAATGCGAAGATGATCGATGGAGACCATTTCAGGTGCATATCTTAATTAATCTATACACCAATCTATTTGTAACTACCCCGTTATATTTCTTTGTAATACTAATAATTGTAATCTTGCAGAATTGTGTGGGTGCACTGGATGGAACTTATATTGATGTCCATGCATCACCGAAAGATCATAATCGTTTCCGTTCTCGAAAAGGAAGGATTGCTACAAATGTCCTTGGTGTGTGCAATCCACAAATGCAGTTCATATATGTGTTTCCTGGATGGGAGGGATCAGCTGCAGATGGTAGAGTTTTGCGTGATGCCCTCACTAGAAGGTTCCGAGTTCCACAAGGTATACACATTTTCGATACTAAAATTAAATTTATGAGGTAAAATAATATAAATATTAAATTTATTCACAGGTTGTTACTATTTGGTTGATGGAGGTTATGCTAATTGTGAAGGATTTCTTGCCCCGTATAGAGGGCAAAGGTACCATTTGTCAGAATGGAAAAATAATTGTCATCCGCAAAATGCACATGAGTATTTTAATATGAAGCACTCACAAGCTAGAAATATTATTGAGCGTGCATTTGGATTACTTAAGAATCGATGGGCCATCTTACGTAGTGCCTCATGGTATTCTATACGTATGACATGCCAGATTATAGTTGCGTGTGCTCTACTACATAATTTCATTCGACGTGAACATGATATTGATCCAATGGAGGATGATGAAATAGAAGAAGAGGAAGATGTAGATGAAGAAGATGAAGATGAACCTTTTGGGGGGGCTAACTTAATTCCTACCGAAGCATGGACTACATTTTGAGAGGATTTAGCAACAGACATGTACAATGCTTGGATTTAATATATTATGTAAGGTGACTTTGGATTTATTTTATCATGTAAGGTGACATTGGATTTAATCTATTATGTAAGGTAACTTTTGATTTAATCTATTATGTAAGTTAACTTTGGATTTAATGTATTATGTAAGGTGATTTGGATTTGATCTATTGCTTGTGATGATTCTCATATGGCATATTGGGTTATCATGTAGTTTACTCCAAAAGGAGTACTTTCTGCATATTTCAGTAATTAAAATAGTAGTTTATTTCCGGTTTACTACAAAAGAAATGCTCATTAAGTGGTGTTCCAATTAATTGCTACTGAATCACTAGCATGCCATAAAATATTTAAAGCCTTCAACCGACAAGACAAATTTGATCACAGAGAAAGAAATTACTACTTGTTACCACTTCGTACCAGGAAACCAGGATGCTGCAGGTCTGGAATTAAGTTCCCTGGACACCTTCGTTTTTTTCAAGCATACTAACAATACTGCTTTTTACTCATCCCTAAAAACCACGGTATTGGTTTGCAAAACAATAAAAACAATAGTAACCATCGGCAGACCTATGAGCGTGTGCCAAACTATCATAATACTCCTCAGTTCGAGTGATATGTTGAACTTGTAATGCTTCTGTTTACAGTGGCATAGAAGCTTTCAAAAAAAAACAGTTTTATTCTCTTCAGTTTCCACCTGTCAATAGCTACAATGCTTCAAGGAAAACAAAAAAAACCAGCAACAATGGAAAAATGTAAACAAGCATCAACAATCCAACTGGACACAATGAAATTAGACCACAAAATCACAGTTTTTAAAACACCCTGTAAGTACCATTCAAAAAACATCATCCAGGCAGTACATGGGCAGTGTAAAGTCGGTTACAACGCAGTGCCAAAAAATTAAATCATGAGTCGTCTTCTAAATACCACTTGCACCAGTCCATCTTTTCTGCATCTGGCAATCCATAAAAGTACAATAAGTCGCTCTGATTTTTTCCCATTTTCTTCATGATCTTGTATTTCATATTTCGAGTCATTCCTTCGAGTTCATCTAAAGCAGTTGGTAGGCGTGATGTCTTATCAGCTATATCTGTATCCACCCTTGCCATCTCCATTCCCGCCTTTTCAAGTCGAATAGAAGCCGCCTCCACACAAGCTGAGAAACTATCAATACTTGGCCCGATCTTACCCTTCTTCTTGCCACTGTTATTAGTGGTAGAAGAGTTGTTTAAACTATTTGCAGAAGTGTCGGTATCCGGAGCTGGTCTCTTTGATGTCTTTTTCTTTCCAATACCAAGCATGGAGGGATCATGTGTGTCTTCTATGTCTACTGATTCAACAAATGGGTCAGATTCAATATGATGAATCATATCTTCACATTCCATTCCTGTTGCTCCAGTAGCTCGATCCTCTGAGTAAATACTACAAAACTCTTCATAGTACCACAAACTTTTTCGCCTTAAAGCTGCAACCTTAGGTTTAGTCTGAAAGTATATATCCAGATTAATAGAAAAATGTACCAATTACACAGTATCCAAATATTAAAGCAAAACAATAACTAATTGCATTACCTTCTCAAGAGCGTCCCACACTTCATTAGGGGCAGTGACCATCTTTATCAAAGGATCCCATCCAAATCCACTTAATGAAGCAGTGCGCCCATTCAATAAGTCATAATACTCTTGCCATACTTGTTTCATATTTCTTATACGGGACTCAATGTGTGGCTTAGCATCCAAGTGAGAATGAGGTAACTTAGCTGAGATCATTTTTGCAAGCACGCTTAGATATCCAGCCTCAAAGCCTCCTTTTTTCCCATTATATGTACCACGGTTATGCAATTCAGTCATACAAGCAACAAGAGTTTGGTCTTCTTGTGCACTCCATTTTCTTCTACTTGATTTTTCAACGTTTGGCTTCTGTGAGAAATAAAGAGTCTGTCACAGTTATCCTCATTTCAGTTTATTTACAATTTATAAATACTTCTGTTTAATTTAAAAACTATCAGTATGAAACCTCAGTTTAGTTTCTTATTTGTTAAACCCATAAAACCTTGGTTCAGTTCTTACCCTTCACGAAATTTACAGTGGTTATACCTCTTAAATATACATAGAGAAACAGAGAAAACAATGAACAAGTAAACAATGCTATGATAAAATATAACATAGGAAACATAAATAACATACAAAGCAAAGAAAATGATGTCAAAATAAGTAAAGAAATGACATCTATCGGACTCAACTTTACCGGACTGGACAGAAAGTAACAAAGAAAACAATGAATAAATAGGCAATGTTATGAATAGAAAATAAGTGAAGAAACGACCTTTACCGGACTGAACTGTAGCGGACAGGACAGTACAGATAGAACATACAAATACACTGAAAACATATAAATAGCAGCAAGAAATCGAAAACATTTATGTATCAAAAAACAAAACAAGATTCACCCTATCACACAAGCTAAATTTGGTCCAACCAACAAGCATCAGGCATACCATTAATTATCATATTCTACTTATGTATAACATGTCTTTATGTCTATCTATTTGGTGCTTGGTTAACCAGGTCAACTACCAAAATATCATCTGATGTAGGACCAAACATTCTGCAGCTTTAATTTTTTTTTTCTACTTCACGATGTCTATTTCATCCACAAATAGACCTACACTACTGTTATAGCAAAATTAAGCTTTACGTAAGTTTTATTTTGCAAAACTTTTGCTGTGAATCCTTTGTTTTGCTCATTTAACCTACCCACTATACAATCATCCAATGGAGAATGGATGCGTCAGATTTTGAAAGCATTTTCCAAGATAATCAATGGAATCGACAGTTTAGCCAAAGGGTTTGCCGTCGCTTAGATGAACGACTTTAGAGGGGAAGAAGGTAAGGAAAAAAATAGGAAGTTCATTGTAAAAGGAAAGAATGACCGAGAAGTGTTGGTTTGCTGGGCATCGGATTTTTGAAATTTAAGGTTGGATAACAGATGGGTGGATGCCGTCGCTTCTTCCATGTGTGAAGTTGGAATCGACAATTTTAATCTATTTCAAACCCAAATCTAATAGAAGAAATCACAATATGGAATAAGCATAACCTAAAAATCACTTTACCAACGCAAGTACAGTTTACCTGGGATGGTTGCGACATAATAGCAGCAGGAAGGTCGGCAGTGGTTGGAGAAAGATAGGCGAGACCGGTGAATGGTGTTCTACCCTATTTTACGATGAGAGATCTCTGGATTAGATATGGTATGGATGTAAATAAAAATTTCTCTTTGAGAAGAGTAGGGACACGCTCGGCAATAAAATAAGCTTAACTTAACGATTAAATAATACATGGGGAGGGCATCACTTTACTAACCGGCGACTTAAGAGGCCCTTCGGCTTACTAACCAGGGAGTTTGACGTGAACATCGTTTACTTCACACGTCTTATTAAGCAAGCAGCGAAGTTAACATCAAAGTAAACGGCTCCTTGGGTTGAGAATTGGGGTAAAAGCAAATACCCCCACAATTTTCTCTAGCTAAAAAGTCTATATTTTTTGTGAGCAAAAAATACTTAAATAAACATGTGGCAAATTAGGGCATCCACATCCATGGATTATTTTTGGATCATTTTGATGACGTGAAAGATTTTTTTTGGGATCATGGATGAGGAGTTGAGATTATTTTATGAGATTATTTGATAAAATAATCTGGTATCAAATTCTAAAGCTGGATTATTTTGAGATTATTTCCAACTTCTAGGTATATACTCATAATTATGGTAATGACTAGCTTTGTAGTTCGTGCATGCTCATGCTCCTATCCAAGGTAAATTAAGATTATGAATGAGGAGAAATTTATTGATTTGTAGATTATTTGAGATTATCTTATGTGGAGGTGACATGGTAATACTAAGCCATGAAAAACCGTAAAGTTGAAGATCATGAATGTGGATGCTCTTAACTAACTAAATGTTGAACTATGGAGTTAATATGTTTTTAATTGGATTGCATTATTTTTACCTGATGTAATTTGGTCTAATCAATTTTTGTCTGATCTGGTCTGGTCTGATCTGTTTTAAAAGTTTTTACTTAGACTTATTTGAAGTTATTTCAGTCTTAGACAAGATCAGACCTGAACAAACCTGACTAGACAAAAATAGACAAAACCTCGAAAAATTATAAAAAAAAAACTCATAAATCATAAATGTATCGAACAAGACAAAACTAGACCAATTCAGACCAGGTTAAATTAGATTAGATCAAACCATAAAGTTTCAATTGAAAAAAAACTCTTCATCTCATCTGCTATGAAATGTTATTAATATTATTTATATATTATAATCCGTATATAATTTATTGTGGGGAGAAATGGATATATAGCCTTTTAAATTAGCATACATAAAGTTAATAGAACTCATTTATATTTTATAAAACATATAACACTTTTATATGGAATTTGCATATGGAAGACCAATGAACAATGGATAGAGACACAATGATGCTGAAACAAAACATATATTCTAACTTAATAGTAGTTAAGAAAAAGCTATTCGTTTTATTTTGGATAATACATATCACTAACTTAAACGTACGTATTTAAACTTGTATATATACCCAATTTACTCTTTATTGTATTCATTTATTATTAAAAATAATAAAATTCCTCCCAAATTATTGTAGAGTATATCTTCTCGACTTATATACATTTTTAATGTGTATATTATAAAGATTAAAAGTATGTAAAAACTATTGTATCTTCTTAATAATAAATAATTAAAATTAATTATAAAACAATTATGAAGATATACATATTGAGAATAACATAAAAGTTTTATAAAGTTAATAAAAGAAAATTTAATTTTAATTAAACTTGAATATGTAAAGTAAAAGATTATAAATTAGTTTACATTGACCAGAGAATAAAAGACATGAACTTTTAAGTGAGATAGAGGTACAAGTAATACTACATATAAAATAAAATTTTAGACCAGACCAGCTCCAGACTAAAATTGATTAGATCAACTAGATCAGATAAAAAAAAAGTTCAGTGCAATTAAAAAAAAATCCCTAAATCTATAATTCGACATATCGGCTAGTAAATTTGCCACATGTTTATTTAGGACATTTGCTCACAAAGAAGAAATATGAGTTGGGATGTGCTTTGTGACGGTTTTGGG